CCGAAAGTGTCCTCGCGTTGCCCGCGAGGATTTTCATCTAAACGGCCGTTGGCTAATGTTCGACGACGACGACTACGACTGCACCCGGTTTCGACACCGACGACAGTCGCATTAGCCACAGGACGAGGTTACAATGGACCCCTCTGTTTTTCACGCTCGATCGGGATACGAACCGGGGTTGCGGGTATAAGAGGGGTTCACCGACCCCCTCGCGATTCTTGCTTCTCTCCCGCAGAAGCCCCTACTTAGTGGAAAAGATTTGTGAATCAGACTGTCGCGTGCGAAATAAATAAAAAAAAATCTATGAACGATGGAATCTGGGACGACGCGAATCTCCTTCCGCTCGCATCGTCTTTCATCGAACGCGTTCTTCCTGCTTTCTTCAACCTACGATCTTCTTGAACCTTTAGTAGATAGTCTACGCTCGGTACGCGTACTCTGTTACGATTCGCATCGGCGCATACAACGATATAACGGTAAAAGTACATTTAAATTTCATTCTACGCGACATTATACAGAACGTACCACGGTATGCCGATGCCGCTTCGATACTCGATTCGGCACGGTACAGGAAACGATGGAAAAATCGTAAACAGGCTCAAAAAGATTACTAGACAATCCGTTTAATTTTCTTATTTCGATACTATTCTGTAGAAACTAATACGACGTGTAGGACGCATGGTCGATTTAAGAGAAAGATTCCGTGTAGAAGAAATCACAGAATCATTTAATAGGAATAAAGATATCGTAGTAGCGAAGCCGACTCGACGGATACGGTGTATGTATACGTTGCGCGACGATCACGACAGCAAGAGGGTGAAGCATGCGAAGGTGCGGGCTGTAGAGCAAGGAACAAGGGCTGGAGGTTGACTGCGTGGCTAGGTTTTGAGGGGTGCCAATGGAAAATCGTGATGACTAAAGGGGGCGCGAACAATGCGTCAGAGATTCAGCGTGACGCCGACGGTGCAGACCAGTCTCCGCGCGTCGAATCTTTTGGCGAGTTTAAAAAAAAAATTAATGTTGCCACGTTCACGATCAATTGTAGCTATATCGCGATAACAATTCTATATAATAACTTATCGGCTTTCTTCGAGCCGATGCGGCCGTCGAAATTTTCTTAAACCACGAACGTTCCATCTATCGAGAGCAAGGGCTATTATAATATCATATATTCGCATAATCGAGGGTACGAATTATCTTTAGGTGAAGACGAACAGAGCTTTCGTCGCCGCGATCCGACGAAAAGCGTGATATTTCGCGGTATGATCGAGGCCGATGGGCGTGATTAACGAGACCGATTAATAATTAAGATCTTGGAGGTTGGCACCCCTAAAAAGCCGCGGGCTTCTCCCGCTCCCGGCTTCGTTGCAACCGGGGTAATGGCAATTTACGCGTCCCGCGGGGCCAGATAACTTCATATCTTCCCGGTAATCATTTATTCTCTCAATGGGCACGATATTACCAAATTGAATTAGATAAGCGCGTACATGCATCTTTCGTGATACGCTCGCACCTACGCGAGACAATGAAATTTTATCTATTTGGATTCTCGTCCGATTTCGAACGGAGCGATACTTTTTGCAGCGTAGATTTCAACTAATTACGTGCTCTCGGTCGATTAGATTCACTGTCGCCGAATAGTATGTCCGTTTCACGCGCGACGATCACAGAAAAATTGCTTTCGCTCGATCATCCATCGCGATTGTATCGCAACCATTATACCCTATACACTTCGCTACTCTGCGTATACGTACATATGTATAAGTATGTATGATGCGAACTAGAAAATTATTTTCAATGTTTTTTTTTCGACAACGTCGTCAAGCAAAAACACTCGAAAGAAATCTAATTAGATTTACCGAATTAGAATTAGAATTAGACGAACCGAAACAACGTTTCACCCAAGTTGGACGTTAGACGATCGGAAACGCCGTATCATTCTCTCGTTATTTTTCCGTGGTAGAATAGGTCCGGCTGGAAGCGAATCGACGGGGGGTGAAACGTCAAAAAGATCGATTCGATTGCCTTTCCCGGGGTCATCCTGCAGAATTTCGCGCGCTTCCTACGAGCAGCTCGTCCATTACGGTTGAATGGCCCTGGCTGCGTGGTGAGCGCGTGTACGGGTCCGTGAATACAATGCGGAGAAGGCTTATGCCGGCTCTATGTATAATACGAAGTCTAAAAATCAAAACACATTAATCTCCGCCACGTGTCGTAGATCGCACGCTGGTAACAAAACATTCTCCGCGTCCGCCCCACGTGGCCAATATCGAGCCGGATACTTTTGCCGACACTTGCGGTACCCGTTTACGCGTCGATACGTTTGCTATTTCGACCTCCTGCTCTCTACGATCACCGTCCGCCAATTAATTTGCTCGAGTGAACGCTCTTCCTTTGTCACTTCATTCGTGGCTAATATACGCGCGAAAACTTGTCAACTATCGTCGAGACGTTGCTTTTCATCGAAGTCGATGCTTCTCTTCCTCGGATTACTATCCGCTTACGGTTCTCGCAATAAATATACGCGCAGACCAGCGATACCGGATACTAACGTTCTACGGTTAGAATAGAGATTATAGCGGTAACGCGATACGTCGAGCAAACGACTCGCGAGAGATCGCACCGTTTCAATTTATCTTTGGTTTTTAACGTTTCAATTTAATTGACGACAAAGGTACTCGAACGACAAAGAGGGGCTCGAGCGAGACCGAAGTAGGAAGAGGCGACCCGATTAATTCCTTTGTCGCCTATCTGCCGATGGAATAACAAACCTCTTCGGCGGACGGGAGTCGAGAGGATACAAGTACGATAAAATCACGAGGGTCCGCGGGACGTCGTCGGATAAAAACAGCGTAAAACGAGCGGGGCGAAGGGGTTGCTTCGTAGCCGATGCAGGAAAGGGAAAAAGGGGCGAAAGGGGCTTCGCGGACCTCCTGGTTCCTTCCTCTCCTCTTCATTTTCCAGCATCGTTCGCCACCGCGTTCCCACTCGGGGGGAAGGAGGAATAGCAATTAAAAGTATCTGGCACAATCTTCGTTAAACTTCTTCCCCGTTCTTCGTCGACAGAGGGAAGGCATTATTAAAACGTGCTGTCGCGTCGGCTGCAACCGCTAACCCTCCCCGGCCTCTCTTTTCACTCAGATTTTCTCGATCCTGCCTCTCGTTTCGCGCGGACTCGTTTAACACGACGTTCTTACAGACGTTATCTTCTTCCGTTTCACGATTTTCTCGCATTTTAATAACCGTCCACCTATTATAACCCCCGTTACTCGCTGTTTCTTTCGCTAAATTTCCGTTCTTCTCGCGAGAAACTTTCAAATACGAAGATATCGTGTTTCGCAGGTCGTTCGGTAACGTCGAGTAAACCCGTTCGAGACAAGTTTCAACCAACCGACTAATTTCGAACAGTCGCGAGGAAGTTCTCGTCGATCGAAGAAGCAAAAGTGTCTAACAGGATGGGTCCGGAGAATCTCGATTATACCGTTGGCTTTCGTGGAAAATAGAAGCTGCCAAGCTGCCGGAGAGGGCGAAACCGTGACGACGGAAGCCCCGGTTTATCGAGAATTTTGAGAATGGTAATGCGGAAGCGGGTCAGGAAGAGACAGAGAATAAGGAAAAGGAGGAGACGTATAGTTGGAATCGGGCGAAGCCGAGAGGTTGGTGGAAGGTAAGAAAAGGGAGAAGTTCTCAGGGTCTCTCGGAGTAATCCTGCTGCCGGCCCGGAGGTCGACGAATATACCATGAAAATACCTACAGTTGGAGAGGTCTTACTTCTCTCGCCCTCTTTCCGCCTCTTCCCCAGTCTCTGCCTTCTATCCCCGAATAACACTCGAGTCCTCATAATTCCTGCAATAACCTTCCGCCCCTATTTAAATGCCCTATCAACGATTATTTGCTTATACCAACCAATATCTTTATTTACCCCTTTCGTTTCATCGTCCGATCGGATCAGCCGGATCTTTGCCAAACGATATCGCCGTTCTTATTTTAAAAAATTTATCTTTTTTCCCCTTACCCTCTCTACATAAATATATTTAGATTTTCACCGGTGAAAATGAATTTGTTAATTTGAAAAAAGGATTTCTACACGTATAATTAGGTATTCGAGATTCGTTTAAAAATATGTGAAAATAATCGTGTTGGTCCGAGTCGATTGAAAATTTTCCAACAGTTTCTCGATGAAATTACGCGGTTCCCGCAGGAACAGGGTCCTGAGAAACTTTGTACCGACGACATTACGAACGACAGGACTGCTCGAACATCAGCGACGCGACGCAACGAGAGGACATTATGTCACAGTTGCTGAGAACGGCTCTCACGTTTACGATTGGCAACAGCGAGAAAGCTAGCGCAGTATCGCTCGATTATTCCGTTAGAATCTCGGAAACTTACCTTGAAACGTGAGAACTTTTCTACGGTTAAGATTTCCATGAACTTTTAATGGCTCGCCAGCGGTTGCGAATAGCATCGTCGCACGAAATAACGCTTTGAAAAATCAATTTGAATCGTCCGAATATCGCGACCGATCGCAGAAGTACGAAAATACTTCGAGCATCCCGAATAGAACGAATACTCTCACGGATCGGAATAAATTAATTAAGAACTAACGACGCGATCGTAGCTCGGTAACACCCACTTGGGTCAAAACGCATCGTTGGGGACTCGAGACGGAGGAAAAGCAAATACCCTTCTCGGGGGGTGAAGTTCAGTCGCGAATAGGGGGCTACGCGGAACAACGAGAAAGAATTCCGTCACGATCTCGTCTGCGCTTGCTTTGTCCCCTGCTTTGATTTCTTCTGTTCGGTACTCCACAACCGGCCAGAGAGCAAAAGGCTGCCGGAGGAAGAGAAACGTTGATAGGGTGTGGAGAGGAGAGAACAGAGAATCGAGGGAGGAAGAGACACAGAGACATAAAGAGGAAGATAGATATATATCTATCTATATACATATATATATAATACGTATATATATATATATATATACATATATATAAAGATAGAGAGAGAGGGAGAGAGAGAGAAAGAGAGAGAGAGAGAGGCTTTAGCTGGTTCGGTACCGGGAGAGTGAACGATATTTACATGCGATTTGCATACTAGTTGATCCCTATTGCTTCCATCTCCAACGAGCCAGCAGGGGCGGCGGACCTACACCCGGAACCCTCCGTCATGCCGCACCCTCCATCTCCATCGCCTCCTCCGCCTTCTCCTCCTCTCGTTTCACGATTCCATGAGTTTTCATCTCTATCTGCTGCTCACGCGACGAGTATCTTCCTGGAGAACCGAGCAGACTTCGCACGTTCTCGTGGAAGCGCGTAAGCGAAACCCTTAACGCTAAAGCGAGCTCGAGAGCAGGATATTCGACGTTCTTCGAATCCTCCTCGTTATCATCGTGTACCTTAATGAAGCCTTCTCTTTCCTCTCGGCCCACCGTTCCCTTCCACTCCCTTCTCCTCCCGACCAATCTCTGTTCACGAGCTCGTTCGCTTGTAAATACTCGTGTACAGAGATTTAGGTACGTTACAGGAGTATCGTGATTCGCTTCGGTCGCGTCGATTGCGTCGTCGATGCGTCGCGACGTACGATCGCGAAAAAGAGGACTAAAACTAAAATATAAAAGTAGAGTTGTTCGGTTCCTAACGAAGCTATCCGCGATACCAGAGCGAAGCGGCGAATATTTAGCCTCTATGGATTTTACAGTTACGAGGGTCTACAGCCAAACGAACATTCTTTTTTACCAATTTCTAGTTAATATTCTTATCGGTACTCGAAACATTAGCGAATACCGAGGAGTATCGTAAATGCGCGAATACGAGAGATAAGGGAAGCAGAGAAAAAGGGAATCGTTTTCAGGAACGGGAGGAAAGCTGGCAAGGTGTCTCGAGATTTTGCTTAGGGATCCAGAGGATTAAAGGTAGTTGGCAAAGCGGTGTAATCGGGTCATATAAATGTGGCCCGGCTAATTACAGATAGTCGGTTTCGCGAGAGAACGCGCTGAGAAATCTGCGGTAGGGAGGTAAGGACAAGGTGATGTTACGTTTTCTGATGGACGGAGAAGAAAAGGAAAGGGAGTCGCTTTCCTATCTCGCTACTAAATGGGAACGGCAAATTAGCCGGGATAATCAAGTCGGAAGAGGAGGTTGGAAAGAGGGTAAAGTTAGCAGGCAACAAACGCTCGCTTCCTTCGCGACACAAACTCGAGCGAAGAGAGAGAAAGAGAGAGAGAGAGAGGCTTTAGCTGGTTCGGTACCGGGAGAGTGAACGATATTTACATGCGATTTGCATACTAGTTGATCCCTATTGCTTCCATCTCCAACGAGCCAGCAGGGGCGGCGGACCTACACCCGGAACCCTCCGTCATGCCGCACCCTCCATCTCCATCGCCTCCTCCGCCTTCTCCTCCTCTCGTTTCACGATTCCATGAGTTTTCATCTCTATCTGCTGCTCACGCGACGAGTATCTTCCTGGAGAACCGAGCAGACTTCGCACGTTCTCGTGGAAGCGCGTAAGCGAAACCCTTAACGCTAAAGCGAGCTCGAGAGCAGGATATTCGACGTTCTTCGAATCCTCCTCGTTATCATCGTGTACCTTAATGAAGCCTTCTCTTTCCTCTCGGCCCACCGTTCCCTTCCACTCCCTTCTCCTCCCGACCAATCTCTGTTCACGAGCTCGTTCGCTTGTAAATACTCGTGTACAGAGATTTAGGTACGTTACAGGAGTATCGTGATTCGCTTCGGTCGCGTCGATTGCGTCGTCGATGCGTCGCGACGTACGATCGCGAAAAAGAGGACTAAAACTAAAATATAAAAGTAGAGTTGTTCGGTTCCTAACGAAGCTATCCGCGATACCAGAGCGAAGCGGCGAATATTTAGCCTCTATGGATTTTACAGTTACGAGGGTCTACAGCCAAACGAACATTCTTTTTTACCAATTTCTAGTTAATATTCTTATCGGTACTCGAAACATTAGCGAATACCGAGGAGTATCGTAAATGCGCGAATACGAGAGATAAGGGAAGCAGAGAAAAAGGGAATCGTTTTCAGGAACGGGAGGAAAGCTGGCAAGGTGTCTCGAGATTTTGCTTAGGGATCCAGAGGATTAAAGGTAGTTGGCAAAGCGGTGTAATCGGGTCATATAAATGTGGCCCGGCTAATTACAGATAGTCGGTTTCGCGAGAGAACGCGCTGAGAAATCTGCGGTAGGGAGGTAAGGACAAGGTGATGTTACGTTTTCTGATGGACGGAGAAGAAAAGGAAAGGGAGTCGCTTTCCTATCTCGCTACTAAATGGGAACGGCAAATTAGCCGGGATAATCAAGTCGGAAGAGGAGGTTGGAAAGAGGGTAAAGTTAGCAGGCAACAAACGCTCGCTTCCTTCGCGACACAAACTCGAGCGAACCTATTTTCGTATAGGTTATAGTATATAATCGTCGAAAGCTATCGTGAAATAGCGAAATTTTCGCTTAGGAAAAATATAGAAAGAACTGTTAACGGTAAGTTGGTCGCGAGTGGGCCACGATAATCTTGGAAGGTTAATTAAACGGCGCGAGAAAGAGAAGAAAGTTTGGGTTCTAAGCACCAGCAGGATCGTATCCGTTCGGTATCGAGGATTTTTCGTCCAAGGGGAGTTAGAAGGGTGAAGGAAGCAGGAGAGGGAGATGAGAATCTTTTAAGAAAAGCAGGCATGGGTCCATCCAGGAGCAAAGAAGCGATTGATATCTGAGCATGCTGCCACGTGAGTCCTGCCGAAGCACGGCGTCTAATTAACTCCGTGACTGGCTGACCCCGGCTGACCCTGGGCTCGTTGCATGCCTCGATGGCGCCTGTGTGCTCGCGCATACACGCGTCCATCTACGTGCACACGTGTTGCATCGGCTCGCACACCTAACGGACCCTCGTAGATAGAGACATCATCGTGCCACCGACCCGCCGCGCCACTCTACACGTTAACCTTATATGGTCCTGAACCACCGCAACAAGACCCTTCCTCCTTCGCGTTTCTGCACGAACTGGCTGATGCACGAACCTTGAGGGCCTCCTCTCGAGAGCTCGACACCAAAGGGAATACCTATTTCGTTCGTCGTCGTTCGTCGTCGTTCGTCGTCGTTCGTCTCGAAACGAAGCAATTGCTTTCCTAGACAAACAAGCGAGATAAAACGCGGTTCGCCACCTTGCCGAACGACGACGACTGCATACTCCGGTTATGAACACCTACAATTATGATCGCTTTGGACGCTTACAGACCTAGACCCCACGGGATAATGCTCGCTACGAGTACGGTGACGATTTCGTATTCGTTAGGAAGAAAGTCGAGCGATCGGAGCAAGATCGCAGAGGGCAGATTTTTCGCACGGTCAGATCGTGTAAACGTGTGCCGGAGCGGCGCGGCATCGTGGTCGAAGAGATAGACGTACCGGTCGTGCGATGCCCTCGCTGTTTCGTTAATTAAAATGAACGAACCAACGAACGAACGAACGAACCGGTTAATTTTATGCGAGTGGCGAATCGAACCGGCGTGCATGGCTTTCCCATTACCGCGCCCACCTCCCTCCTGCGTCGATTGGTCATTGGTGTCACAAACGATCATGCTCCGCTTCTCTGGCAGCGGCCACCGGCATTCTCGAATATCGACGTTGCTTCCGTCTTTTTTAAATAATCTTCGACGCTGCTACGAATTGACCTTCGGTCAAAGGAACAACGTTTCTTTCAACGATCTCCAGCGAGGTTTTCTCGACAATAATGCTCTCGCGAACGTTAAATCACCGAAATTCTCTTACGCCGCCACCATCGTCGTCGTCGTCGTCGTCGTCGTCGTCGTCTCGTTTCGCTCGAGTCGGGAGATCGCGCGCTAAGCGGTATTTAATGTGCCGAGAAACAGTGATACACCGTTTATTACCGACGACCCTCGGCGAATTTTCAGCAGGAACGACGGTTTTATTTCATCGCCGTTTCTCCTGCTTAATGGCGAATAAATTTTAATGAACGTCGAGAAAAGAAAAAGGAACGAGTTCTGCCGCGAGTAGAGCTAATTTAATGAGAGTAAATTTGACCGACATTCGTGGCTGTAATTCGAAGCAGTCGCGAGCAGTCGCGAGCAGTCGCGAAACGGAGGAATCGAAGAAACAATTGGAGGGTGTAACGCGAAGAGAAAAAGAGGATTCTCGTTTTTACGTTGAAATTCGGATCGAGCCCAGGAATTGTTTGCCGAGCGTACACGAGTGGCTCGTCACGCGGTATTTTTCGGAGGAATAAAAAATTTTGTTAGCCGCTAGACCGAGCGATTTCGAAATTCCGATCGGTCACGGCGAGGGAAACGCGGCAACCAGAGGGTGCGGGGAGGTTCCAGCGTGGAAAACAGGGTGTGGCGCGTGAGAGCTGGCTCACCTGAAACAACACAACGTTTTCAGATCGCTGATCCCATAAGCGTCCACGTTTGATCCCTCTGTTGTTTCGCGAACGAGTCCGCTTGCCTCCCGGTTAATTCGCGAAAAACTATGACCGACGTTCTTCCGCTCGACTTGATCTTACAATTTACAGCTTACGATACCGTCGCTTCGCGTCGGTTCGTTCCTGGAGGTTCCTCGCAGCTCCTACTACGTTCGAAGCCAACGCGAGGAATCTTCTCGACGAAACAGACATTACCTACGCGTATTTCGGTTAGCTCGAACCACGAATCCTACGAAACGAATAAAACCCATCGGTTACTACTAACGATGGTTAGGCTAGGTGGAACTACTCGAACTACACGGACAAGTTAGTTAGCGTTTCCAGTTGCGCTTTTCGGCAACCACGATCCACGCTGGTTGATCGGCATTTTTGTTCGAGGGGCGAAAAGAAAGGCGACACGGGGTGAGACTCGTCGAGCGGTGACGTAGAATAGCGGAGTTATATCGTGGCGTAATATGCAAAGCGGTTCGGATCGGATGTACCCGATGTGACGCGGCGCGGCTCGGCGCGGCTCGGCGCGGCGGG